TTAAGTACCAACTCGATGGTTCTTTGATGAAAAGTGACCGCGTAGACAATCCTTTGATAAAGGAGATAATCTCTTCTAAGGCCAGGGATCGCCAATGCACACTTCTCAATTGCTATCTTTATACGATAACTGTAAATCTGCTCAATTCGTATAGATCGGAACGAGCAAGCGCTTTTCATATGAACATTACCTGGCTATTCTGAAAAGCGCACACGTGTGATGAACGTACATCATAAATGTTGCAAGGGTGCTGCACAATGCGACCATTCCAATATAGCAGGCTACCATCTTGTGCGTTGCAATGAGGTAGAAATATTTTTCCTAACTGACAAAGTACTCCGTGCTCGCGACAATTCGATAAGGTCTCGATTCGTTAAATGGCAACACGATATCCAGAATCGACAGTAGGAATTGATATATTAAGCTAAATATTGTGAAGATATGGTAAAATACTGAAGAAAACATGTTAATTTGAGTTTGAATTCACATATGGGATAATCATTGAGAAATTATTTCAAAATAGCCTAAAGTATGTTCAAACATAATTAGTGTCATCAGTGAGAACAATATTACATATACTGGCATAGAATATATTGCTACTGGCGCTCTCTTACACATTATAATTGTCGTGATATACCTCCCGTCGCAAGTGTATTTTTTTTTATTTAAATTTAAATTTTATCCTTTAATGAGTTCCTGTCAACGTGTATTTTTCCCAGCCATTGTTTCACCTGCTAGTTTGATATTTCTCTATTTCTCTCTTTCTTTTACTGACGTTTAATATATGTTTTATTCTCTACGTGCTTAAGCGCAAAGCGTTTGAATATATAACTCGTCTTGTTAGACTTACATTTGCCTGAATGACACAGAGGCAATATTTAATCGTGACGAAGATATTGTAGAGCGTAAACGAGAGAATCTTGTAGAGGACGTTAGCTTTGTACTGTGTCGTAACCAACACCAGTAACTGGAAATAACGTTACTTAGAGCATGCATATTATAAGATTCCACGCGAAAAATGAATGATGCTTGACGAAATTTATGGTTTATTACAAGATACAGGACGAAAAAAATCCTTTAGAAAGTCCGGAAAATTAAGTAATTAAAAAATTCCAATCATAAAAATTATTATATATAAGATAAAAAAATAATGAAAGAAACCGGGGAAAAGAATAAAAAAATAAGGGGTTCAGAAGAGTTCATAATAAACACATGGCAACTGTTCAATCGCGGTCTCTCGACAATCATGCATATACCTGCACCACAATATATAATGTAAGAATAACGATAAGCAGCACATTCTGTATTTGCACTAAATGCGACTGCTGATACGGCCACAAGCCGAGTGCCTTGAGAAATATTCGATTGATTTTGTAATAGGTTGCCTCGGCCGCATGCATTTTGCAATAGACTCGTTATGCAACTGTATTTTTCGGGGCTTAATGTTCTCCCGTATTATCTTCCGTCATATATTTTTATGAATTACAAACGATCAATAATCTCACCCGCTAATGGTACCGTACAAATATAATGATAATTTTCCGACGATGTATTCGCAATATTAGCGGAGGAAAATTAGACTAAATTGCCTCTATTCGTAATCGACAGCGATAAACTTCCTCTCCTTCACCGCATAGACTGCAGAATATTTTGGCGCAAACGCACCCGCGACTTTTGCTGCTTGGTAGTTAGCGACGTTTCAGTCTTGTTCGGCCCGTTAGACAATAAACTTTGGTTTAGCTCTATCGCAGTACATTGAGGATAAAAATACTTCCCGGAAATTTGTGTGCGTGTGTTGCGAATGGTGATTAATATTGGTAAACCAAAATGATTACGTAGAGTGCAACATATTAATTAATAATGTTAACTCCTTTTGTAATCCTAACGTTTTCTGTGCGCAAGGTGACTCGCAGAGAGTTTTTCGACATAAGGACGAATTACATCCATTGTTTTATCTGCGAAATAGAATTCCTCTGTAGCGAACATGTTATGATGTTACGTTTATTTTTACAATACATGAGATGCATTGAAAAAAGTATTTTGTAACAATTACCAAGCTTTCGATTTGGTACGCTTTCTTTCTCTTTGCCCTCCTGTGGTGTTATTATCAAAATTATTTAGTAATAGTTATCATATATTTTGGTTAAAGTGTTATACTATTTTGTAATTATTACAAAATTGTGTGATATTATTTACCTAATAATTTGTATGGTTCAACTTAATGAAAAATTTTGTATTAATATTCATTTTGTTATTACCAAACAGGTAGTAACTATCGCCAAGTTTGGAATTAATTATCAAATATTGTACTGAAATGCACTGAAACTAAATGTGTTTGTTAATTATTAATAGACATTTTTTTTTTAAATATTGGGTTAATGCATAATAACTTAGCGAAAATCGATTAAATTTAAAACGCAAAATATTTAGCAAAAAAAGCGATATTAATCAACTAATTATGTTCCATTCTGTTCAAAGACTTTCAGCCATTTCTCCACAAGCTTCATTATCCTTCTTTTACAGATGTCCTGAGATTTTTGGGCAAAGAAGTCATCCAAGTGGTTTTTGGGGACGTCCAGGAACTGCAGGTTTGGTTATTGAGTGATAGTCTAAAGGTACAAGGTCCGGACTATACAGTGGGTGCACCGAAACATCCGTCACACTAACTTTTGCCGGGTCATCAGAGAAGCATTTGGTCTAGAGTTGTCCTGGTGGAACACAACACTCTTTCCGTTCGCCAATTCGGGCCGCTTCTGATCGATTGCTTGCTTTAATTTGGCCAGTTTAAACAGTATTTGATCGAATCAATCATTTAGTTGGGTGACAGCAGCTCATAATGGAAGATTTCTTTCCAATCCCACCAGATATTGAGCATGACCTTCTTTGGGTTTAATCCAGCCGTTGCGACCGTCTGAGCTGCCTCCCCGCACTTCGACCGTAATCTTTTTCGACTGACATTGATGCTGTAGACAATCCACTTTTTATCGTCAGTGATCATCCGCTTTGAAAATGATTCGTTTTGATGGCGTTTGAGCAGCGAATCGCAAGCTAAAATTCCATTAAATTCTTTTTGCTCAGTTCGTGCGGCACCCAAACATCAAGCTTGCTTACCATCCCAAGATTCCATAAATGTCTCGAAACAGTTGATTGGTCAATGCTGAGGTTATGTCCGATCTCTGCAGTGGTTAAATACCGGTCGGAGTCGATTAAAGTCTTGATTTGATCGACGTCAATAGTGATTGACCGACCAAAGCGAGGAGCACCTTGGAGATCAAAATCCCTGCCACGAAATTTCACAAACCACTTCCGACACACATTTTAGCTTACGGCATTCTCTTCGTACGCGGCGCATATCTTTTTGTAAGTTTGCGACGCGTTCTTGCCTTTTCGGAAATATAAAAGCGAAATGCACCTAATATACACGTATTTTCTTTCCATGTTCAAAATATAATTAAACTTTTGTGTGTCACAAAACCTTGTGAGAGCTTCGGAAATCAATAAACTTTTTAAAGCTAACGGGAGATTAGCCCACTGCGCTCGAGTCTGGTGTTGGGGCTGCCAACTTTTAACGTCCAGACAAGCCTCTCTAACCCCTTGCCGTGCTTTAACGAGTCTGATTCGTGATGAAAATTTTGGCCCAAACATGAATATGACGAGCCAGGCTCGTGAATAGATCGTCGGGCCAAACGTAAACATCACGAGCCGAGGTCGTGTACAGATAGTCGGATCAAACATAAACATCACGAGCCTGGGTCGTGATTGAATGTTAGTTTCTATCAGTACGCCACCAGAGTTAGTCACGAGTCTCATAATTGCTGTTACAAAGTAGTTTATATTATTATATTTAAATTTAATAATAAACCCTTACAAAATGCAAAATAAAAGAGGTTTAAGTGAAAGCAGTGATAATGAATCTAGTGATAGTGATGTTCTTCCGCTAATCAGAAAGCGTCCAAGGCGTATGATTATAGAAGATAGTAGTGAAAAGGAAGGTACAACGCGTCAATCATGGATTTGGCAGGAGAAAAAAAACACACCAATAGTTTGGACGTATTCTGAGACTCATGGTATAAAAGCGTGTGTTCTTACTAATTTAAGCAAGGATCCAACAATATTAGAACTATTTTCTATTATATTTGATAACAAACTGTGGGATATAATTATTACGGAAACAAATCGCTTCGCATACCAAGAAATGAACGACGAGTGTAAATAGCAGTGTCTATATCAGAGGCATTTACATTTCGGCTCGTATTGTGACCTTTCTCGCGCATCAGTCTGATCTGTTTACCACGCGTTGACGCGTAACACTTGGGCCCGAGTTTCGTCGAGCTAAATGACACGGCAAGAGGCTAAGGGGTGCTAGGGATATAAATGCCTGTTGACCTGGCGTTTTTGGCATTACAAGCTCAAGTTATTGAGCCTAGGCCTATTTTTCTCTCTTTTACATATGTATGTGGTGCGCACCCAGATTGCACAAATGCATATGAGACCTACAGTTTAACGCCGGTTCCGAACGGCAGTGGGAGAGAAGTTTTCTTGGCATGTGGTTAACTCTTTGGTGGTTTTGCCGGACCACCGAAGAGGAGCTACAAGAGTGTGAAAATATTTCTGGAAAATATTTCAATCCTCTGCTGGGGATTGAACCCGGGACTTCTAGCATAGTAGACTGGTGCGCTATCTACCATGCCACGCTTGCGCTCGACCTTGATGAATACTTCCTTAAAATTTCGGCACAAGTTTCAGCTTACATTTAATGCACGACACTTCATATGTTTGACACATGTTCGAGCGGAGAAACTTCTATCGAAATTTCGCTGCGGAATTATGCATAAACCCAATATATAGGTCAGATGTGCTAAGTTGTCAGAAATTAATATACATTTTTACTTAATACTATACATAACAGATTCGGAACAGATATAAATGAGACAGTTTAGATTTTGGATAAAACTGATCTACCGGTAATAATTTCCTTTTTTTCGTTCTCCTATCCGTTATTACCGTAAAGAATATATTACAGTAAAATAAGATAAGGCTGTGCCCGTCAGCTGAAAAGATACATGGTATCGCCCATTAAAGTTACGTCGAAATTCGATATTCTCGGTGAGAGAAATGTTTGCATTTTACCGATGCGAAAAATTCTAGAGACGCAACAAATATATCGCCCCATGTTAATATGACATTTCTCGTTCCTCTTTGCATTACGAACAAAAGCAGTTTCTGTGTTCGCAACGGTGCCGTGTACCACGGTATAGTGTAGCTGCAATTTTTTTTGCAAGGTTAATATATTAATTTGTTACAATCTTATTTAATCTTTTTAATAAGTTAAATAGAGGTGCGTCTTAATTCCAAAAATATATTTTATTATAAATTTTATATTATATATTATCCGTTAAAATAAGTCATGTCTTAAATTCTAGTCCGATACAGCTACTGTTTTTAATAAGAGTGCAGAAGATATATAAAAAGAAAAAAAATTATAATTTAATTATAATAATAATTAAAATATATTAAAAAATAATACAATTAATTTCAAAAAATACTTGCGATGTTTTGAACAGCTTTATCCCGTGTTCTGTTATTTCTTGTCCGCTATAGTTAATGAGAAACATATAGCTCAAGTGAGCCACCACTATTAGTGCGAATATGATCATTTCGGTGGTGTTATGAATTAACGTTATCAGTTGAACGAACTACGGCAAATAGCGCGGCTACTTAAAATGCGGTGCGCGATTGATGAGAATAGTATAATGGAAATATTACTCACTTGAGAAAGACAACAGATGAATGAGGTGGTACCAACCATAACCAGAAGAGTGTAAGACTCCATAATATTGGATGTCAAATATTCGACGAACCTTTGACAACAAATTAGATGTAATAGTTATTACCTTTAATATTGTACAAAATTAAAAAAAATATCTGTTTATCACAGATAGATATTAATAAGAAGGCCAAATTTCAATATCGCAGCATACCTGCAATTATATCAGTACGATATAATTATTAAACCGCGTATTTAATTATTGTTTCAACAAATTTTAATAAATCATTTAAGAAATCAGATCAGTGTAACAGTTCAAAGAATCATACGCATATTTTGCGGCCACGTTAATATATTAACAACGACTGTAAATTTTTGAACGCAGTTGATAACATGAAAACTATAGCAACAAATGCAATTTCAGCAACTCATGTTAAGCTGAGACGGTAATAATTTTTTTTGCAATGTTTTATGTTAATAAATGTAACCATTTACTTTGTCGATCTAACAGCCTTTTCAATATACCGGAAACATTGTAATACGAGGGTGGTCCTTGAAATACCCGGCCTGACCTAGAGATGGCAGTAGTTGTTTGAAAAATATCACTGTATTAGATGGCGGTAGTTGTTTGAAAAATATCACTGTATTAGAAAGTACACAATCTATAAAGCATATGTTTCAAGTTTGAAGACGCCACGTTGTTTAGTATTTATTTGGCAGCCATAAATAGTGAACGTTTTCAGTGAATTTGTGAAAATCGAGAAAATTGGTCATCGTTATGTGATACAATACTTTTATTTGAAAGGCCTCAGCCCAACTAATATAAAAGCTGAACTGGATTCTACTCTTAGTGAGTCTGCTCCTTCGTTTACAACAGTAAAATATTAGGTAGCAGAGATTAAACGAGGCCGTACGAACTGCCAAGACGAGCATTGGAATGGTCGATCAAATGAGATGACGACTCTAGAAATGGTGAAGAAAATCCACAAAGCGGTACTGGATGATCGTCGACTGAAAGTGCGCGAGCTAGTAGACATAGTAGGCATTTCAAAAAGTGCGGTACATCGTATATTATCTGAAAATTTGGACATGAGAAAGCTGTGTGCAAGATGGGTGCCGTGTTTTCTCACACTCGAGCAAAAACAGTGTCTTGAAGATGTCTCAATTGAGTGTTTAACGAAGTTTCACAGCAACAAAGCAGAATTTTTGCGCCGTTTCATAACCATAGATGAAACATGGGTCCATTACTTCACACTCGAGACAAAAAAACAATCAAAACAATGGACTCAAAAGGGAGAACCGGCTCCAAAGAAGTCGAAGACCGTTTCATCTGCAGGCAAGGTCATGGCGTCGGTTTTTTGGGATGCGCGTGAGATAATTTTCATTGACTATATTGAAAAAGGAAAAATTATCAACGGCGAGTATTATGCGAACTTATTGCAACGTTTGAGCGAAGAAATTAAGCAAAAACGGCCGCATTTAGCTAAGAAGAAAGTTATGTTCCATCAAGACAATGCACCAGCTCACAAATCCGTTATTGCAATGGCCAAAATTAATGAATTAAAGTTTGAATTGCTACCTCATGCACCCTATTCGCCAGATTTAGCCCCCTCGGATTATTTTCTATTTTCAAACTTGAAAAAATGGCTCAGTGGTCAAAGATTTTCCAACGTTGAAGAAGTGATGTCCGCAGTTAATGGCTATTTTGAGCAGCAAGACAGTTCTTATTAAAGGATATCGAACTTATTGAACATCGCTGGGAAAAGTGTATAGAGCTGAAAAGAAATTATGTTGAAAAATAAATACATTTTTTTCCAAAATTTTTGTGTTTTCTTTATTGAGTCGGGTACTTCTGGGACCACCCTCGTATTTGAAATACTAACTCGTTGGCTCTTTGATGAAAGGTGACCGCGTGGACAACCCTATGATGCAGGAGATATTCTTTTCTAGGGCCAGGGATTGTCAATATCTTTTTTTCGATTGCTATCTCTCTACGATAGCTGCAAATTAGCTCATTATGCACAGATCGGAATAAGCAAGCATTTTTAATATTACCTGGCTATTTTGAAAAGCGCACACGCGTGATAAACGTACATAATATATGTCGCAAGGGTGCTGCACAACGCAACCGCTCCAATATAGTAGGCTGCAATCTCATGCGTTACAATGGCGTAGAAATATTTTTCCTGGCTGACAAAGTATTCCGTTCTCACCACAATTTGATACGGTCTTGATGTGTTAAGCGGTAATACAATATCCAGAATCATCGGTAGGAATTGATATATTAAGCAAAAGATTGTGGAAATAATGCAAAATACTGAAGAAACATGTTAAGTGAAATTTGAATTCAGTTAATCATCCTGAAATTGTCCGAAAATAGACTAAAGTACGTTCAAACGGAATTGATATCATTATAGAGAACGATGTTACGTATAGTAACGTAGAATATATTGCAACTAGCACTCTCTTACACATCACAATTATCGTCATAATTCTCCCGCTGCGAGTGTACTTTTTCAAGATTTTAATTTCCATTTCATTCTTTAGTGAGCCCCAGTCATCGTGTATTTTCTCCAGCAATTGTTTCACCTGCTAGATTTGTATTTCTTTTTTTCTTTCTTTCTTACTGTCATTTAATATATGATTTATTTTATACGTGCTTTTGCACAAAGTGTTCGTATATATAATTCATCTCGTTAGACTTACGTTCGCCTGAATGACATAGAGGTAGTATTTCATCGTCATAAAGACATTGGGAAACATGAACGAAAGAACTTCAAAAAGGACATTAGTGCTGTACTGTGTTGTAATTAATACCAGCAACTGAAAACGACGCTAAATAGAAGACGTTGCTTAAATAAATTCCCACGAGAATTGTATGGTGTTTGACGAAATTTACGTTTTATTGCAATATAAAGAACAAAACTAAATTCTTGGGAGACCGTAAAAAATTCTGCAATGCTAGTATGTAAATTCCCGATTATTTAAAAAGTATAATGTAAAAGACGAAAAAAATGGTGAGAGATACAGAGAAAAAGAAACAAAAATAACCGCGTTCAGCAGCGCTCATATTGAACGTGTACCAACTGTTCATTTGGGACCGCCCGATTACTGTGCGTATACCTGCACAATGATAAATGATGTGAGTATAACGATAAACAGCACATTCTGCATTCGTACTAGACGCGACTGCTAATACGGCCATAAATCGAGAATTTTGAGAATCACTCGATTGATCTTGTAATAAGGTGCCTCGGTCGCATGCATTTCGCAAAACAGTCACGTAGTAACCGTATATTTTCGGTTTGGTGTTTTCCCGCCTTATCTCTCTCTGCATATTTATGTGAATTAAAGATGATTGATATTCTCGTCCGCTGATGGCACAAAAGTGAAAGTAATTTTCCGACAGCGACGATGTATTCGTGGTATAAGCAGCGGAAAATTGGGCAAAATTGCCTTTATTTGTAATCAAGAGCAAATTTTTTTCTTTTACTGCGTAGACTAAAGAATATCGTTGAGCAAGCGCATTAGTGACTTTGGCTTGTTTCGTGATGAGCGACGTTTCAGTGTTGTTCGGTCCGTCATACAACACACTGCTCGGCTTCGCTCTATTGAAATACATTGAAATATATTAGTCATCGAATACAATATATTAGATTAAGATCTTAAAACGTGTGTTGTGTATTTTCGTGTTGCAGCTGATGTCTAATATCGGTAAACTCTGTAATAGCGAGAAAAGAAATGTAGCACAATAATTAATAAAACTACGGACTTCCGTTGTATCTCTTGCGTTTTATACACGCAAAGACAACGAGGGGGCGAATGGCTTTATTTGTTTGATTTGCGAAAAGGGAATTTGTTTGTAGCAATGATATCATTGATATTCTCCCATTTGTTTTCACTATATTTTGGACATACATGGATTATATTCGTCTGCCGTAGAGATTATTTTAATTCGGTGATTGTAACTCGTTATTAAATATATTTGGGGAAAGATATAAAAGTCGTATTCTCAGATATTTTTGCAGCACGTTGAATCGTAAGTAAAATAAAATATAATGAACGTAATATATCAAATTTATAGATATTTGCGGATATATATGAATACTTGTAAAGAATGTAAGGAATTGGGCAGAGCACTCGTTTTGATTTGATTTATTGATTTCGTGGTAGTGTATAACTTCAGATATCATATTGTATAGTGTGGGTATTTCCAACTTTACAGAGAATGAAAAATTTTATAATACCCAAGTGCAAACTGCTGAAATTTACTATATATACGTATATTTCTGTAATAGCTTATGTTCTCATTGGACGGTGTAAAGTACTGTGACATACGATATTGACAGTTTTGAAAGTTGAAACATGAAATTGTTTTCTAATTTGTTTAATGCAATGCATTGAATTCATTATATTGCGAATTTGTTATCATGTATTTGTATATGCAAGTCATCTTACCATCGTAAAACCCTCCTAAGTAATATCAAATATACCGCCAATTGGCAAATAAACGTTCTTGCTATACTTTTGCATTAAAAATGGCAGTAATTTTTGTATATTCACAGAAGATGTATACCGTGGCAAAGTGTACCTGTAAATTATAGGAAACGTGTGGTTATGCGCCTTAAGGAACAACTTCAAGCTTTTACACTTTTCTGTGAAATGTAAAAATTGCGAAAGTAATTTGTTTTTGTCGTACAGTATATGATCAAAGTACATTCATGTAGAAACTAGGTACAATGAAATTATCTCTTTTGTTATTTTATATTAATTCTTATCGCTATGATGCGCGAGACAAACTTCTTGAGACTTTAAAAGTGTATACTCACACTACGTTGAAGATTTTACAATTAATATTTGTTATTTGTTGACGAATGTGATTACCAAAAA